ACTTGGGTGAATATATAGTTCACCAGATAACAATGTGTGTGGGTGTGGGTCCTTACTACATCATAGGGAATTTCTATCCAATTTAAAGAGTTTAGGAAATACCCTTGTAAGCCCTTCACAGTCTACTATGACTCAAATGAACACCACACACAGAGTTCTTTGTTTTGCAGAGCCTTCTCCACAGACACCACAAAGGCTCTCTCACCCATGGCAAGTTCTCACTTGCTAAAGGTTAGGCATTCAGGCTGCCCTCTTACTCAGACCTGAGACTCTGGATCTCATATGTGATTCCAATATTCTGCAAGTGAGACCATGCACTTCATCATAGACCCCTTTTTAAAAGTCAGTGAGCTGATATTTGTTGCAAATAACAGTCATTTGAAAAATCTTGGACAAGATAGAATGAAAGAAAATATATAATAAAATAAAAACAAAAAGCACAATTCAACTATATGGTGTTTATAAGAAAATCACTTAGATCCAGAGACATAGGTTAATTAAAAGGAAAGCCCATCCCATATATTAACATTAGGCAAAACAGACTTTATAAAACAAGTTACAAGAGATAAAGGAGGATGTATAGTAATAAAAACATATTTAACAACCATAAATATTTGCATATGGAATAACAGTTCTACAGTCACAGTTGAAGACATCAATGTCTCATACTCAATAATGCATAGAACAGCCAGCAAATGAATGAGAAATCAACACATGCAGCTGTAGGTGACCCTTGAACACAGGGATGAGGGATGTTATCCCCTAAACAACTGAAAAGATTCATGGGGTGGAGATGTAGCTCAGCAATTGAGTGCCCACCTAGAATATTTAAGGTCTAGCTTCAATGCCTTGACACACCAAGAGAAGGAGAGAGGGAGAGAGGGAGACAGGGAAAGAGAGAAAGAGAGAGAGGGAGGGAGGGAGAGGGGAGGGGGAAAGAGGAAAGGGAGAGGGAAGGAGGGAGCTGTTAGTAGCTTTCAAATGACTGGAAATCTTACCAATTGATAACCACTTACTACATATTTTACATAAAGTATATACAGTGAAGATCTACACAAGAATCTGGAGAGTTGGTTTTCTCTTTTCAGAACTACTGTAATTGAACCCAGGCTACACATACAATAGGCAAGAACCTTCTGTGAAGATCAATTCCCTCTAACATTTTTATTTTGAGACAAGGTCTTAGGAGATACACTTTTTTTTCTGCTACTTGCAAATTATGATGGACACAGACTACTTAAGGGTAAATAATTAGCATTTCATCAATTTTTAGGAATTAAGCTGTTAACATTCTAGTTCACTAAAAGGACAATAGGAAATGGCTACAAAAATTCTTCTGGTAGTATATAATATGTATCACAGTTAATTTTAGGCAATTATAATTTAAAAAACCTAACCCTAACCATATATGGCTAACTTTCCCCACTATATAATGTGTTTATAATATACATATATTTATATATAATTATATAGAAATACATATTCCATATATGAACATACACACACACACACACACACACACACACACACACACACACACACCGAAACAGACTAGATACTGTAACATAAAGTATGAATATCAACTCCTTTATTAATAGAGGTATTATTGGTCTGTTCCTAAGAGTTTAGGGACATTGATTAGACAAAATTATTTTACCTTCATCTACATTTTACTTTAATTTTCATGTAAATGTGTATTTTAAGCAGAAATCAGTAAAATAAATGTCCTTTAGCGATAGAATGAAGAAATTTGATCAGAATGTAAACACATGGGAAGGTGTAGGAAACATACCAGATGGAAGAAATTGGACTCACATATATCTGCCTAAAGAATAGTATTTAACTCCTCAAATTTAAAGGTTGGGGAGCCTGAGATGATGGGAATCAGTTCTGATTCTCCAAATGCAAATTCCATACTTCACACATAAAATTCCAGAAACTCTAGTAAGAGACCTACTATTTGTACACGCCTGCTTAGATACCAGTGGCAAAGTCCACAGGCCTCCAGAGGACATGTTCTATAAGGAAAAAGAAAGTTCATCAATCCTTGCTGTGTTACCATCTGAACATCTAGGTAACCCCGACAGCATCAGCCATGTATCTGAGCATTGTCTGTGAGATGGCCTTCTTTTTCTCACTTTCTTCCCTTCACAGCCTACCATCCATGTCCTTTATTCAGGTAACTATGGGTCTATTTACATTGACTCTCCCTTATTTTGTTGCATGGGCTACAACCATCATGAAATCATTTTTCTCAAGCTCTCCCCAGTCATATGACCATACAACTCTGCCTTCTCCAAAGGTTTTCAGTTCTTATCACCCATTCCCTTCCTTTACCCTTGATTATGTTAACATACATGTCCACCCTTTCAATGCTCCAGCATTGGAGTATAGCTATTTCCATCAAGACTACTATCCAAGGCAAAAAATAATCTTTCCATTATCCAAGTTCTTATATTCCTCTAGTCTTGCAGCACCTTTTATATCAGCCTTATTCTTTGATTATGTTTTTGCACACATTATTTACAGTTCTCACTGAAGACAACAGCTAAGCTTGGCCTATATTACTATTCAGTCCAGCCATCAAATGCACAGAGCCTGAAATATATGAGTGTTTCACTACTGTCCTAACGTGGATCACAGTTTCTCAAGTGAAACAGCATTCACCAAGCTTAAGAGATTCTTCGGGGTAGGTTTAGCTTGTAGAAACTCTGTGGTCTCAAAGTACAGTCCCCCACAGGGCACCATGTCATTTCCAAATGTTTTTTTCTTGTTTCAAGTATAATTTGCCCAGGAGTAATTGTGAAAGGCTCTTACCACTGCTTTCACAGTCACCTATGTTATTTCTTCAATACCTTCAAGAGTCTGTCAGTTAGTAAGTGACATAAGATATTACAATGATTAAAGATAGGACTAACCCATCACTATTCATTCTAAGTAAGTGCAAACTGGCTGCCTAGCTGCATGAAAAGGGAGGCAAGTTGAATGACGTGGGCAAAAGCTCAAACATGGCATAGGTCACACAAACTAGATAATATCATCAGCTACTATGGGGCATTGAGGAACCAAGTATATTAAAGTTTAAGAAGCAAGTGTGCAACAGCCATGGGCTCACAGATGAAGTAAATGGGGGACTTTTCCCAATCCCATGCCACTTTCTTGTTTATCTCTGTCTATATACTAAGAGTTACAAATCATTTATCGTAAAACAAGAAACCTGGAAACATGGTTTTAGTCTTCTTTTCCGCATAGTTTCTACAGCCTTTAAAATCAGTATGCAAACGAGAAAGGCATGGCCCTCCCCCAACAACTGTACACAGCCACTTCCACTGGAATCTCTGGAAAAAAATAGTAAGAAGACACTGACTCAGAGAATCACCTTCAGCTCCCAGAAGCAGATATCCACCATCAGCATTCTAAAGGTCAGTTCGCAACAACCGGCTTCTCCAAGTACCCAGCCCAGAAAGTGGCTACATGACCGTGCCTATTTTTAGTGTCAAACATTTCACTTACCAGATTGAGCTGAATCTACAATTACCAAATGTTCTCAATCACACGCACACTGTCTTGATTCTTTCAAAAACAGACTTGGTTAAAAAGTGCCTCTACAACCAGACTTACTAAGGCAAACAGCCTCAGTATGTTTTTGAAGGGACCGAATCTCAAAGCAGAAGCCCTGAGGATATTTTTATTAGAAGCTGGCAATTGCCCACACAGTTCATTTGGTCTTGCCCAAAAATCCAACAAGGATAAAATGCCTATGATATTTACTGGACGTGACTATCTAATATTCTAGAGAAAGGCATTCATCCATCATTACTAAACTGTTAACCTTAACTTCCAAGAGCCCCTGATGCTATGAAGGCTCTCCTGTACTAACCCTCCGAGAACCAAAGGGTCAAGGACATGAAGGAAGAGGAGGAACAGCACCTCATCTTTTTCAGCCAGACTTTTCCTGAGTGTGTCCTTTTAGCATACTTTTTTTTTTACTAGATAAGCCCTCATACTTTCATCAGAAGTTAGAAGTATTTTTTTCTTAATGTGGAAAACCTTAGCACTTGATAATCTCCCTTGATCTTAAAAGCAGCCCAGAAGGAAATCACTGACCTCCAGTAACCCAGAAAAGCAATTAACCTACCCATTTCCTCCACTCCCAACCAGTTCCCTCTGATGACAAACCAGGAGAATTAGCAAGGCCATAGTGTATTAGTAAGTCTAGACAAACTTAAGGTCTATCACAAAACTCATGGCATAGGATTATAACATTGATGTTTTGGTAAATTTATAGAGCACAAGTTAGTTTGAGCTGTCACTACTCAAATGAGTGACTTCCTGTGTGGTGTGACAGAGCTCATGGCAGTGTTTTCCTACCCCTCCCTCCGTGTGAAAATCAGGCATCATCACACCTTCTCCCCCTTGACCTCACTTCAGAGAGGAAAGCAGGAAGGTGAAGCAGGCCAACATCTCCAGGCAAAGGCCATCAAAGGCTGGGTATGCTAGAGAAAATGCAGGGATAGAAGGTCACGGTCATCTTACAGATATTGGGAAAAAACCCTACTGACAGAATTATGGCCAGAGATGGTTGGATAATGTGGGGAGAGGAGTTGCTACTGAAGCAGAAGTTTGTTCAGGAAGTCTACAGAGAGTAGGTACAATTCTGGGGCCAGGTATCTCAGTGTTTCTCACCTAGAAATATGATAGCCTAGCAAGAAGGACACTACAATTTGTCAAAAATTATTAGGCACCTTTGCCTCCTCATGACCCCCAAATGGAATTAAGCTCCTGCAGTTACAAGACTGAGGAAACCCAGAAGGTTGTAAGATTCACAAGGCAGTATACATAAGCTATAACAGTTGTAGGGCAGAGGGGGCGGGCACACCACCTACCAAGCTGCCTGTGAGTTGGGGTTCCTTTCCACCTGTACAGTGCTGAAGACACACTGACTGCCAACACCTGCACACTCCCATGTGCACACACATAGGAAAGGAAATGAGTCTTACCAGACCATCACAGTTGCTAATGGCAACAGAGGTTCCTGGAATGTCCATGATGTCACCAACATAAGCACAGCTTGTCTGCAAAGGCTCTGATCTCCAGACTTTTTCCGCAGCACTGTTTCCGGGGTCAGTTGTATTCCCAGGCCTTGGAGATGTCTCATGCCACTCCACAACAGCCCCAGGAGCAATGAAGTGAGTGTTGGGCTTTAGTCGAAGATGAAAATCTCTTCCAAATGCAGTGATATTAAAGAACAATTGCTCTGAGTTAAATGACACATCCCTGGGTGACCTCTTTTTGTGATTTGCAGAAAGAATATGGGAAAGATAGTGTCCTTTTAGATTTGTGCTAACCGGTGTCACCAGCTCATACTCTCTGTATCTCTTTATTGGTAAATCTGTGGGGTAAAAAAAGGAATTGTAAGACATCTGACAATAAGGGTACACAACAGAAAAAAACACCTCAAAAAGCTAAACCCCACTTTGCAATAAAATCTATCCCTGAGCCAGGTCACATATTTTAAGAACTAAAATCATTTCTCAAATGCACATAGGTAATTCAGTTAATTATTTTTATTTTAAAAAGCGTATTCAACCATGAACACTTATACCTTGTTGCTATATTTGAGACCATGAATATGTTTCTATAAACTATATCTGGCTCTTTTAAAATTAGGACATATCCCTAAATAACCCAGGATTCCCATAAGAACTTTTAAGAAAGTTGCGATCATATAAAATTTAATTTTTTGTTCCTGTAGAATCCCAGAATTTATATTGCAATCAGTATCTTCCATATGCTGCTTCTGCCCCAAACTTAGGATTTATACTCTAACTTATAACACTATAGCTTAGGTTATTTTTATTTTTATTTTTATTTTTATTTTTTTAGCCTAACATCCCTGACAATCATATATCACCGATAAGGAAACAGATTCAGGAAGAATCTGAGTCCAAGACCAGACATTGTGAAGCTTGGATATAAATCCAAATTATGCTACAAAACCTACACACATATACACACACTTCCCTGTTGTACTATGGTACATACATACATACATACAATACATACACACACACACACACACACACACACACACACACAGAGGCATGGAGGGTATGGTATTATCATTTTATCCTGTATTCCTTCCAAGGAACAGCTGTCAATTAGCATTATGTATTTGGAACCTACCTTACAACATAGGCAGCAATTTACATACTAAACTAAATCATTGAGTCAGAACTGTTTCCCCTGGGTTAGTTGAATATGTGGACTTGGGAAAGATAAAAACAGTAGATCCCAGAGAAACAGGGGCAAAGGACATGGACAAAAAAAAGCATGGGAAGGAGAATGTGACTTTGAATTTAAAGATTCCCACTTTCAAAATGCTCACCCCAAACTAATCCTGTAATGTGTTCATGTTACCTGACAAAACTGATTCACAAATAAAGACTGTCTATAAAAACTGAATCTTTGTTTGTTCAGAGCCTAAGGTCCAAAATGAACCCATGATGTGTGCACTTGGTGTCTCTGTAGAATCATTGTGTCTTCAAGTGTAAGGTCCCAGAAGACAGATGAGACATGTTATAAACTTGGAAATCTTTGGTGTACATGTCAATGTTAGGCCACCTACACTGACCAATGCATTAAAACAAAATACCACTCTTGGTTACAAGTGTAAAGCAAGTGATACTTCTGGAAGTATCATTAGACAGAGGAAGAGGGAATACTCTGCATAGCAGAGTCATGGTTGGGTCTGATCCTGAGAACTCAGCCATACTTCCATAAAGCACCTAACTGAGGAAGTCCATGATGCTAGTCTCCCTGACAACCAACCCATAGTGAATGATTCCATCAATCCTGGTTTAGAATGGGGCTGGAAACTTAGGGAATGAACACAGGAGTTACAGGGACAGAGTGACAGGGGTAAAGTGTTCACAGGCATGTCTGAATTAAGTCCTAGAATGTAGCCTAAGAAGGACCAACCAAGTAAGTTCCATAATGACCGTAGACCACCCTTCATTTACTTGATACTCTCAATATCAAAATATAATAACCTCATATAAGATTATACACACATACATATATACATACATACCAGACTGCACAGCCATGTAGATTTGTTCGTATGTGTTCCCTTTAGGTAACCAGACAACTTTTGCTTTGTCTATGCTGCTAGTCATACTGACTTCTAGTTCTATTCAGGACCCATGAGCATCTCCCTACACCAATAAGCTATTCCAACTCTTTCTCCATTAGTTTATTGCTTCACGAGAAGGGGTATGGATTTACTGTCTTCTCTAAATGGAATCCACACAAGAAAGTCTAGACAACATATCAGTGCCTGGGTTAAAAGAGTAGAGAATATGAATGCAGGAGGCCCCACCACACCCAAGAGGATACACAGACAGCAGCTATATATCCTAGACCTCTGAGACAGTTTCAGTCCAGACAATGGGCTCTGAATTTTTATTTAAAAGGGAGATGCTACATAGAACCTCTTTCCCTGATGTGAAAAAAAAAATCATTTTTTTCAAGGGTAGGCATAAGAATCATTTCTTAAATGAAATCCTGAATTCCCATTTTCCTGATAGTAATTAAGGAACTTGGGAAAAGAGGAACTCAGCAACATCTAACACCCTAGAGATAACTAAGGAACTCCCCAGTTGCCTGCTATTTGTTGGCAAAATATGATGTTCTGTAAATTGTGCTTGGGAATGCATCATCCGTAACACAGCAATCATTGTAGGTCAGCATTATTACCCCCACTCTATAAATGAGGGAGTGGAACTAAGCCTAACACAGCAAGCCAGAGCCTAAGGAAAATCTCAATCCTGAACCCTCGGGCTCTGAAAGCACACACATTCTCATCCAACTTCATCACACATGGAACATCTTGCTGTCAATTTCTTACTCAAGGTCTGTCCTATAAAGTAAAGATAACATATAGCACAGCTTCAGTAACTTCTGTAAAAGGCTTTAAATCCCAGTTTGGTTAGGGGAGGTGATAAAAAGTGGGTAGAAACTTAAAACTACCAAAAGCATTTTAATCACATATTACAATTACATAAGAAAACCAAATTATGTCCAATGTTTACTTACTGAATAAAAAAGTATGCATTTTACAGATCCAACTTCTACAGTGCAGGAATGAACAGCAATATGTAAGACACAAACAAGCTGAAACAACAATCACCTTAATCAAGGTCTTTATATTCCTGTGAGTTGTTTCCTTACTTATCAACTGGATATTAACTGTAGTTACAACATCATGTCAAGAAGTTCATATTATGTCAACTGAGACTCAGTGATTACTAGCCACTAGAAATATAAACACTTATTTTAAGAGAATGCCATGTTCAATTTTTAAAGATAGAAATTATACAATTCTCTGATCAATGGAATAGAACTAAAGACCCAGAAATAAGTCCACAAACATGGACATCTAACTTTTGATGGGGAATCCAGCAATATACACAGCAAAATAGACAACATCATCAGCAAATAATGCTGATTAAACTGGATGTCTGAATGCAGAAGAATGCTAATAGATCCATACTTATCACCATGCACAAAACTCAACTCCAAATGGATCAAAGATCTCAACTTAAGGCTAAAGGCACTAAATATATTAGAACAGAAAGTGGGCAATAGCTCTGAACTCACTGACAAGGAAAAAACTTTCTGAACAGAACACAAATAGCACAGTCACTGAGAATAACAATTAATAAATAAGACCTCATGAAATTAAAAAGCTCCTGTAAAGCAAAGTACACTATCAGGCAATGAAGCACAAAACAGAATGGGAAAAGATACCAACTACACATCCAATAGAGAGCTAATATCCAAAATATATTTTTTAAAGAACTAAAAAGAAAGAAAAAAAACTGGACATCAAGAAAACAGATAACCCAATTTAAAATGAGGTACACAGCTAAACAAAGAATTCTCAAAAGAGGAATCCCAAATGGCTGAGAAACATCTTTAGCCATCAGGAAAATGAAAATCTAAACTGCTTTGAGATATCATTTTGCACCAATCAGAAGGATCAATAAAACAGCTGACAGCTCACACTGAAAAGGATGTGGGGAAATGGCAACACTCACCAATTGCTGGTCCAGCACTGATACAGACATTATGGAAACTGTGCAGTGATGTATTGTTTACAATCTAATAAAGCCACTAAAGATCAGAATGTAAAGTAGGCCATAGCTCTAGAATCTGGGCAGTGGTGGTGCACACCTTTAATCCCAGGACTCAGGAGACAGATGCAGATGGAGCTCTGTGAGGTTAAGGCCACCCAGTGCTACATGAACTGGAGAGGTATATGAGAAGGGGCCCAGGGTCTCATGCAGCATTCAATCTTCAGTTTCTGGCCATAGAGCACAAGATCACCCGAGCCTGGGTAGAGGTAAGAGCTCTCTGGTGACTTGTCTGCTTTGCTTCTCTGATCTTCAGCTTCAACCTCCAGTATCTGTCTCTGGGTTTATATTATTCCTGTTACCAATTGTATCACCATTGACATGTTAGAAATCTTAGTTATATGTTTATTTGTAGATTTTTTTTCTCTACTTGCACATAATTTTCATGGGAGCATCTGTTTTCTTCATTGCAGAGCCCGAAGTGGGTTGATAGTTTTTTTTTTTTTTGTTTTGTTTTTTTTTTGTGAATAAAGATATGAATGAGAGATGTTTAAGCCCAAGAAGTACCTAAAATTAGCATACATTCTTCTCCCTAAACAGCAAACTGTAAAGATTGAAACGGACCTAGAGGCAGAATTCTGCCTGCAAAACATGTGTATAGTTCTCCCTGATCCTACTGACCTATAAATCAAACAGTTCACAGAATTCATGCCTTACAACTTAATGCACCAAGAATAAGTAATGGGTGCAATTATTAAAACAGACCTCCAGGAAGGCAGACATGGAACCTCTCATTGTCAACACCAGGAAATTAATTCCCACACTATACCAGTCCAAAAAAAATGTTAAGTTGAAAACCCATTAAGTCCCTGCCTCTTTTATACACTAAGCATCTCCAGTAGATTTTTTCCCTTAAATTATAGGTGGAGTATCTTTAGCTTGATCCTATGTCTTCCACTTGACTAGGGAGAGTCCCAGCTCAACCTGACCCACTGGGATCGTACAACTTGTCTGTCAAAGTGAGGCTGGGCTCCATCACAGTCTCTTATAAAGTGAAACATCTTTGGTGTTTCTGTTTCTCAGCATGCTCAGGACCCAGGCAGACAACAGGGAGAGACTCCTCTTTAGTATTTTCTCAGAACTCAAACCGCCCCTAACAAAGTTCTCCCACATGTTCTCTGGAAGCCTGCTTATAACAGAAGTTTCTAGGGAGAGAGGTAGTTCTCTTATACCAAAATCCCTCTTTTTCACAATG